TTGCAGAAGCCACGTTTTTCCTTTTACATTCCCTCCCCTTTTTTTTTTCTTTCCTGGGAAGTCGCTGTTTCACAGGAGTCTTTGCCCCAGAAAGATCTGTCATCACTGCTGCATGCTTCAGAGCACTTACACCACCAGCCTCCCTCCTCCCTCTCCATAGGCACGGCTCAGTGCCCGCAGGGCTGGAGGTAGCAAGCACCGTCCTGTCTTTCCACGGGCTACTTCAAATAAAAAGAGAGGCTAAACAAGTACTGGGTTTGTTTAAGGGGTGGCTGTGGAGTGGGGGCAAAGGGTTTTAACAGTCCTCTAAACTGATTTGCAGCGGCAGAAAGGTTTAACCCCCTACTGCGCTGCAGAGCCTGCTGGAAGCGGTGGGCAGGAATAGCTCTTGGCCGGTAGCCTGCCTTGATAACACTCCCAGGGCTCCCTCGGGATTAAAATAAACCCAGTGCGTGGTGAGGAAGATGCAGTGGTGAAGAGGCAAAGGGCCTGGATTGGGGCACAGGGGCGGACGCCAGCAGCCCGCTGCAGTCCCAGGCGTGCTGCAGAGCCAGAGATTGGGGCAGACCTCTGCTCTACCCCGCTGCTGTGCCAAGGACAGCACTGGCGGAGAGCTCGCTGGGTCTTGAACATGTTTTCTCTTCCATCAAGTGATGTCTCAGCAGTTCCTCCCTGCCAGGGAAGCGCAAAAGCCCGTTAGCATCCTGCTGTGCCAAGGCACCCGGCTTGGCTGCAACCCAGCTGCCTGTGGGCAACATCTGGCTGGCATCTGGCAGGGCACCAGGTGGGGCTTGACCCCTTTGGCCACTGAGTGGGAGCCCATAGCTTCATAAACATGGCATTTTCCCAGGGCAGAGGGGAGCCGGGGCACGTCCTCACACTGGCACCCGCCTGCAGAGTGACTACAGACATCATCTGTGACTCAGTTTCCCCCTCAGTGCGTGGGCAGCGCTGCCAACCTGCTTTAAAACCTGCTCTGGGCGGCAGGGCTGAGATACGCTTGGTGGAAAGGGTCAGTCCATGGGGAAGCAGCCATTCCTTAGTCCACCGTCCGGGATTTGCTGGTTTAAATTATCTCCCAGGAATTTTTTCTATGCTGTGTCATTACTGCTGAGGATCTGCTGCAAAGCCCAGATGGAGATGCATCACCCTGCAAAAGCACGGTGCTCCTTGCTCCCCAAATGACTTCCCAAGGGCCATGTATCCTGTTAAATGGGAGAGAAACAGAGCACAAATCATGGAGCAGCCCTGTATCCCAAGGGAAGTCCTGCCAAGGCTGCGTGTCACCCGGTGCACACAGACTGGTGGCCCCAGGGCTGGTGCTATGGGGCAGCATCTCAGCACAGCAGAGGCAGCCTTAGAAAAGCTCCGGGTTTCCCCTTTGTTTGCTCCTTCTTTTTTTGCCTTGTGCCATCTTGTCCAGACCCACCGGACTGTAGCATTCAGGGAGTCGCTCGTCCTAATTAATAACTCGCAGAGATTTCAGCCCTCCAAGCACACAGCCCTGTGCTGCTGGCACCAGCCACACTCCTAATTAACTTTCCTAATTAAGAGGCCCCTTTCCGTGACCAGAAGGGCTGTGCGATGGTCCCCGTGATGGAGGAGGTGGAGAAACCTTCAGCATCTCCTGCACTGAGCAGGTGGGATGGCAGCATGGGGCTGCTTTTCACGTAGGTAAACTGAGGCAGGAGGGGGAAAGCTCAAACCCCCAAGAAAGGCTGAAGAAAAATGGGTGGAAATGAGCTACCCACATCCTGACTTGCCTCCTTGGAAAAGCATTTCTTGGCTGCTGCCGAGCCCTGGGGCTGTTCAGTGGGGGTTTGGTCTCGTCAGCTGGGCAGGCTGGCTCAGCCGGCCCTGACACGCCAAACCCTCTGGTGCATCACGCTGGCACGGAGCTGGCCACAAACCATGCCCTCCTGCCATGGACAAGGTTTGGTCCTCTGGTGCAGGAATATTGAAGTCACACCGTGTACCCTCTTTGCCCTCCTTCATCCCATCTCTCCCACTGTGCCGGGGATGGCAGCAGGTATTTGCCTGTAGCAGCATCATCCGACACTTTGGGATCATCATGACCCATCACAGCTCTCAGGCCATTTTCCCCTTCCAAAGCCTAGCAAGGGCCTGGAAGAACTGAATAATCTTCGCAGTACTTGATGTTCACCAGAAAATTACCTTTCATGGGTTTTTAAGGAATTCCCAACACTCGCCTGGCACAAGCCCTAGCCTAGTGTCCAGGAGGACAAGCAGATAATGCCGTATCCATCAGGAACAGGCTCTGCACAACCACTTGCAATGACCAGCAGCAACATTTGCTCATTCAATCTTTGCAGCCTTTGCCAAAGCCCTGAGACAGTTTGCTTGGGCTAGTGGGAGAGCTCATACCCCTCTTTGGCAGACTCCTAGCCGAGCAGCTCATTTTTGCTATAACATGGGGTTTTTTAGGGGTGCTGCTAAAATTAAGTATGCTGGGGCATGAGTCCAGGGAGGGGAAACAAACTGCAAATCCACTAAGGAAAAGGAGTGGTTTTTAATCTCTGTGTTTGGGAGATTTGCATACAATTAGGCCGGGACCTGCCCGCGTTTGCTTCCGCATTGCACTCCTGTGATGAACCTGCCGGTTTTCCTGCTCTGCTCCCAGCCAGAGGCTGATTGCAAGGACACTCACCCTGGGAAGCTGGTGGGCTCAGGGGCTCAGGGCTCTCTGGGGATGCTCTTTCCACTTCCAGTACCCTGTCCTGCATGCCCCCATCACACGCGTTGCCTGTGGCTTTAGGGTTTCAGCCCTATAGCTGGGTAACAGCTTCCTCCCTGCAGTGTAGGATGTGTGAGGAGGTGCACTGTGAGATGCTCCAGTGAACGCCTCCTGTAAATAGCATGGTGTTTACTTGAGCCTGCCATCCTTGGTTTATTTTTCTCTCAGCAGAGCAGATCATTCAAATCCAAATAAGCTCTCCTTGCCCTGCTGCTGGCAAAGCCCAATGGTCGGAGGTGGCACATTGCCACAGTGCCCAGATGGCCCTTGGCTGCTCAAACCCCCCAGCCCTATGCTCGCCACTTGGCCAAGGAGGTGAGGGGGAAGCCCACAGGCCACCAGCTGATGAAGAAGTCCAGCACTGGGTTTGTGATGGTCCCACAGCTCTTCCCATCCCTGTCTTGGGGTGTGCAGGCTCTGATGGAGGAGAGGGTTGAGGGTCAGCCCCAAAGGGCAGATCTAGGTGTTGGGACATCTCTCACAGAGGCAAAGCAGAGCAGGAAGGGACAACTCCAGCCCCAAGTCTCACCAGAGGAGGGAGAAAGGATGGGGAGAGGTGCAGATGGGGTTTGGGAGAGTCCCCTTGCCCCAAATCTGAGGTCATAGCCAGTCCTCGTCCCAGCAGCACTCGGATAAACCAGCCCCGCTCCTGGGGAGCAACTTACACGGGATAAGCCTTGCAGGTGCCGAGTCCACCCCTGCGCGGGGGGTGTCGCTGGAGGGCTTGGCTGGTTCAGCTCCATCAGTCAGATAGAGCCCCATTGCCTCTGTGCTACCCAGCACAGGGGGGGAAATTTTGAGGGTGGCTGTTTTTCCCCAAACTTCTCCTAGGACCTTAAATAGTGCCCGGTCCAGCCTTACCACTAGTTTGGGGCCACTATTGCTTCACACGCCTTATCTGGAAAGACCCTCCACCTGCCCCAGCAGCTCTGTTTTCCACTGACACAGCCCCCCGTGTGAGGGATGCTGCCAGCCCTGTGCCTTCCCCCCTCCCTAGCATGGGGTGCAGGCCCACCGCAGCACCCAGAGGTGCCATTCAGAGGATGAAGGGTGCTTTGGGGCTCGCTCCCAATGCACCCCAGCAGTGATTTTGGGCGACGCATTGTCAGCCAGACCCCGGGTGAACACCCCAGCTCTTTGGGCCGGTTTGGTTCTGACTTGGGGTGCCGTGAACCCGGAGCAGCGACTGCTCCGTGCCCGGGTGATGCGCTGGGTCCTCCCTCACCCCGAGCTCGGGCTCTGCCTGGGGGCTCCCCTCCCCGGATCCTCTGTCTCACACCCGACCTCAAAAACCTGTTCTGGTAATAAAACCAGCACCCGACCTGTGTCGGGAACTTGGGGCTGGTACTGGCTCTGCTGCTCCCTCCCCGCTGCCGGCTCCCCCCCGCGCTCACCCTCCCGATCCTGCC